CACCAAATTCAATGATTATACCGTCGTTCAACATGTCTTGCAACTCTTGTTTGGAATTGCCTTCCAAATTTGCAGGGGCATATCTCATATGGATTTTGAATAGGTCTTGATGTGATTTAATACAGTTGCCTGCACTGGGATTCCTTTTTGATAGGACAGGCTTATCTTCCTTTGCTGTGATAGGAGCCAGTGCCCTAGGGAACTGCAGCACCCAGAGCACAAAACACGGAAAGATTTTACAACACGGAATGACTCCATGTTCCGAAGTGCTTTGGCCACATTCGTACTGTGTATCATTTAAGCCATCCGGGGCTCAAGAGGGGTTGCATGGCAGACTGGCTAATTCCTCTGAATTTTCACAATGCCCAGTGTTACTTCTTGGGGAAAGAATTCCATTGTGGGTGTGGATTGTTGCTAACCACAGAGGCATTTAATGCTCCTTAAAAACAAAACACACACACAAAAGAAAACCCAGCCCTTAGGCATGACCTCTGACACCCTGTCAATGGTTTCCCAGGCTAGGGTGGACAGGTTTTGTTTTTGCCTGAGAACCGTGATACAAGCTGCAGAGATTCTAAGCAAGAACTGCTAAGATGCTTCCTATCAGCACCGGGGAAGCTGGGGACGTGCATTTGTATGCACGACACTGTCTTTGAGAAGCTCTGATCCACTCTGAGTTTAATGAATTTAAAAATGCTGGTATCTACAATGAGACTTTTAAATTTAATTTTAAAATCTCATGGCTTTTGTAGGCACACAGAGATGTACCTTCCTTCAAGCTGGCAGCTAGTTATACTCAGAGAAAAGTGATTTTAAAAATGGAGTTAAAGTAAATAAGCCACTTTTACTGAGTAAAAAAATAGCTACTTCACTAGGACATGCTGCTAATAAAATGATTTTCCTATTGTCTCTAACATGACAATTTTTAATTAGCTTGTACACTTTTAATTTGTTCTTTAAACTCACTGTTTTTTAAATGCTAGATTATGTCTTTGCCTGTGTTTAGTGGACACAGATGTGCAAAAAATCCTGCAGATTCACTCTGACGCTGGCAACCAGAACAACCATAGTGGACGAATTTTACATTCTATGTAAGAACAGGAACTGAAGTGCCAGAAATACCTCATCATAAAGGATGATAAAGAACAGCCCTGTGATGACTGCACCATGTATACTTTGCTTTAATGTAAACTATCTCCTATGACAAATGGGGAATCCAGGGCATTGGACATGAAGTCATAACCCTAAGACCTCATGGCCCCGGGTTCTGGGCATTCAGCTCCACTTCTGCCCTTTCTGATACATAACACTGCATCCCCCCAGTGGCAGCCATGTGAGAGGTACACGTGTACCTCAATGTGCTGAGCTTCAGAAATACAGCCCAGGATTAATGTTCCCTCCAGAATCAATAGCCTATACACCAAATTCAATGATTATACCGTCGTTCAACATGTCTTGCAACTCTTGTTTGGAATTGCCTTCCAAATTTGCAGGGGCATATCTCATATGGATTTTGATTTGATTTGAATTTGATTTCATTGGCGTGGTACAGTTTTGTAGAAAACTCTGTGCTATGGGGAGGCAGCAGGCAAGGGTCTGGCACAAGGAATTCATAAGGATGGTTCAGGGAGGGCTGGGGACAGAGGACAGAGACAGGCATTCCCTCTGGCCAGTGTGGCTGTGTCCCGGGGAAGGCTAATCTGCCCCTTGCAGGATAGGAGGCACTTCTGTCAAGTGCAGACACAGGGAAGGGCATTTCTGATAGGATACCCCAGTCTGGCACACACAGGGCCTTTGCTCCTGTTTTGCTCTCCTTCCCCTGAACCGGGTCTGGGTTCACACCGCCCTGCTTTGCAACTCTCGGCCTCTGCACCTGTCATTCCCTGCATGGAGCTGCCCTCTCCCTCCTTGCCTGCTAGGCAAACTTGCAACTTATCTTTCAAAATTGAGCTCAATTGCATTGCTCCAGGAAGAAGCTTCCGAGGCCTCTGCCTTCTACTGATGAGGATTGGAAAAGGCGGGAGGGAACTAGCATTTACTAGTTCTAGGTCCTCTGTACCTGTGACCTTGGTTGACCTTCACAAGTCTCCAGGGACACAGTATCCTCTCCCTTGTTACCTACCTGGAAACAAGCCACACAGCTAGTGAGGGCAGCGCCCAGAGGCAAACCCAGGCTGCCCCAAAGCCAAGCCTGCTGGGTTCCTTTCTTGAATTTGTTATGCTCTGCAGTCGTTTATGAGTTTTGAAGGCAGCCTCCTCTGTTCTGAAAACTCCTGAGCCTGGTACTTGTAGTAGGTCACCGCTCAGCTCCTGTACAGCTGGGCTAAGTTCAGGAAGTGACGTTGTTGATATGAATGTGGCCAGTGGAGCGGGCTCCTGGCCCACAGGTGTGTCCCGGCCAGAGGCAATTTCAGCTGCCCTTCCAGCCGAGGAGAGTCCCGGCCCCTGGTGCCCATGCGCACCATGCAGCACACAGCGGGGTGCACGCCCCTGACCTGCCCCACACTTCTCCTCGTGCCCCCTCCTCCGGCTCCCTTTTTCTGCTCATCACCGCAGGATCTGAAGCTCTGGGCTCAGGACCCACCTCCTCCTACCAGACCGGTTCTGTCACCTGCTTTTCTTTTCGATTCTGTTCTGTACTCCACACAAAAGTACGTCTCATTAAATCGTAAATGTGATAACATTCTAAGAATGTTTATGGAATTGAATCAAACCATTTTGGATGTCATACTTCAAGGGGTTTGGGGCTTTATAGGGAAATCTAGAAAGAATCTTGCATTTTCTTATCAGGCTCGTTAAAGAGGTAAAACTATAATTACCAGATAAAGTAAAAAAAACTGCGACAAGTAAAATAAAACAAACACCCCATGTTATTTCTATCATTCAAATCTTCTTACATCTGGTTGTCTCAACATTCAAGACTTTCACCCTCACGTTCCCTCCAAGACTATCCTGCAGGGTCTCAGCGGAGCTTCGGGCAGGGCCTCTCTTCTTGCAAGGGGCGACATGGACGCAATTCTAAGCAACGAGCGAGTGACCCAAGGGGTTCTGATGACCTTGATGCTCATTTCATGACCCCGAGTTTTGGAAAGAGGAGCAGGATTACAAGTAAAGAGATGGCATTTTGTCAACATTGTTTGAGTTAAACTGCAAGACGAACACAGCATCAAGCGTGTTGAAACAGTCATGTGGGTGTTCACGGACACAGCTTCATCATGGGTGTTTGCTTTCCCAAGACACAAAGCCAGCCCCGCACAGGGGCCGGCATTCCCAAGCGCCAGGATCGGGTCCTCGGCTACCGACAGGTCTCTGTCGCTGGCATCTTCGTGCTCAGCAGTCGCGAAGCTCCGCCCACCCAGCATGACACACTGAGAAATAGCAGGAGAGCCTTCCCAGGAAGCCTGAAGGCTGGATTGGATGGCTTGACTTGGGTCTTTCAGGCTATTGTCCAGTTATTGCCTGAAATGGCCCTGAAAATCCTCATACTTGTTTTCAGCACTGGCAGTATTTCTTTTAGTGAGCATTTTGGCAATACCTGCTTTGAACAATTAGCCTACAGTATTTATATAGGTACACAATCCTTTAACTAACATTTTGGAGCCAGGCATATTTTCGAATTCACGCTTTTTTGCACAGATAATATGAGCATATACCTTCTATTTTACATATGAGGCAGCATCATCATCAAACAAATTAATAATCCTGAAGCAAAATATATGCAGATTCACACCAAGTCAAATATATTCAGACTATAAATAGCCTTACATCTTTTCAGTTGGGTTTTGATACCACATGAGGCCAAATGATTCATGAAAAACTGGTAGTTTTCAGTGTTTTGGATTTTGGAATTGTCCATATATCCAGGCATTGGAGGTATGTTTTCTGACTCTGAGCTGCTTATTATCTGCTTGGGGTTAATACAGCTGACCTGCACCAGCAACAGAGGGTCTCTGAGGAGCACACAACTCCATACCTGGCCACTGCTCAAGGGCCGTCGGGATGCCTGCACTTGGATACATTTAATGCCGGTCCCCTCAAACCCCACCACACACACTTTTCTCACCCAGCCTGTCTGAAAACCATGCAAAGGAGGCAGACAGGGTGACACAGGAGAAGTCTGAGGCTCTGCTGGGTCCAGAGGCCTGTGAGGATGTTGCTGCATAGCCAGTGCCAGAATCCAGGCTTTCGGGCTCCCGGTCCAATCCCGTATTCTCTGCACCACACTGCCCGTTGGCTCCAGCTGATCATTTATAATAAACAGGAGGAGTGAAGAAGGCAGACCTCTGTTTTGCACTTGTCTTATTGCCTTGTGAGAACTGCGGCGACCCCTTGTTTCATGGGCTGCAGACATGCTGGGAGGGAGGCCTGTGTTTGCCCAGGTAGGAGGAGGTGCCTCAGGCCAGAGCAGGTGGTTGGACAATATGCTCAGCCCAGATGAACGTGGGTCTAGAGGTTTTGGTTTCCTGGAAGAGACACAAAAGAACGGAGTAATAATCCTCCCATTCGTTGGGTTCCAGGACCAGGGGCCAGGGCCTAGCTGGGCCGTTTCTGCTCAGGGATGTTCATACAGCACGAGGGGTCACCAGAGCCCTTCGGGTGGGATGCACCCCAGGAACCCCTGAGCTTTAGGAGAACCACCCAACCCGGGGGCTTCTGGACAGTCCTCCTCAGTACTGCTGGGAACCGAGTCCTCCCCGGGCCTCCAGAGCTCACCCACATGGCGCCGACACTCTGAAAGTGTCCCTGGCGCCTGCTGTCCCCCCAGTTCTGCACTGCCAGCCATGAGGCCTGTTTTGACTCCTGTTTCCTGCATAGGGTTCTCCTCTGAAACCGCATAATCCTTGCAGGGTCTGCTGGCCTTGCAGGCCATGCCACTCACGTGGAACAGCAGGCTCAGGGTGTGTGCCTGTGGGGAGGGTCGTGGCTGTGGCGGAGCCTGGCACCAGCGGGGGCTCCCTGGCCCTCGTCCCCCCAGGTCTGACCTGGCCACTCTTGGGCAGTGGCGTTAAAAGCTGGCCAGGTGGCCCAGTGTGTGGTCAGAGCTGAGAACTACCAACCAGGCCCAGCCTTCCCTGGCACCTCCAGTGTCCTGAGGCTGGAGCCTGTGCTCCGCGCCGGGCACAGTGTCGTAAATACGGCTTGGCCTTTAAGCTCGGTCTCTTGATTACTCACTGTCCCAGCTAGCCTGTGGCTCACGTCTGTGAGGTCGCCCTTGGCAGCTGGCTAGCCGCACCCCAGCTGGAGGGCCAGCGCTGCCGCCTGCCCCTGCGCCTGACGCTGCCTGTTCCTTCCAGTGCCGGGGCTACCGCGGCGGCGAGCTGGAGGGGGACCTGTGCGAGGACCTGTGCGTGGCGGGGAAGCTGCTGTACCGGCGCTGTCTGTACTACGAGCGGGGCAAGAAGGTGCTGCAAGCCGACTGGCGCGGCCGGCCCGTCATCCTCAAGTCCAAGGAGGAGGCCTTCTCCAGCTTCCAGCCGCTCGGCTTGCTTGAGGACGGCCTGGAGGAGGCGGGCCAGGACCTCTCGGAGGCAGACCTCCTGCTGCTGGTGGCCGGCGAGGTCAAGAGCACGCTGGGCCTGGAGCTGTCCAGCCGCAGCCTGGGGCCGCTGGGGCTGGGGCGGCGGGGCCCCGGCCGGCGCGGGCGGCTGGCCAGCCTGTGGGCGCTGCTGCGGCAGGAGGAGTTCGCGCTCCTCAGCGTGCTGCAGGGCCTCAGCCCGCACGCCCCGCCCGTGCTGGGCTCCTGCGGCCACTTCTACGCCGTGGAGCTCCTGGCGGCCGGCAGCCCGCGGCTCGGGGCCCTCTTCCCCATTGGCCGGGCCGCCGGCGCCCCCCGGGGCCAGGCCAGGGCCGTCAGCGGCATGGCGCTCAGCTTCCTGGACATGGTGCGCCACTTCGACCACGACTTCTCCCACCGCCTGCACCTCTGTGACGTCAAGCCCGAGAACTTCGCCATCAGGAGCGACCTCACGGTGAGCTGCGGGGCGGGACGGGGCTCCCAGCCGTTCGCTCTCTCCAGGTCCCCCTGGCAGGCGGGGAGCATTCACCCAGCGGCTGCGAGCGAGCACCTGGACGCACTCCTTCGTGTTCGTCGCCGTCGCCAGCACGCGCTCCTTACGAACAGGGGCTGTTTCCTGCTCCAGAGCCGCACTTCTCATGGGAGAATGAGGGAATTCTCACCCACCCTTTCTAGTCTGATGCTGGGTCGAAGTCTGAAGGGGTGAGTCAGATACTTTTCAAGCAGGAGGAGTTTTATTACTCTCCTGATACTATGTAAGAAACCCCGTTCAGGTTTTCCTGTTTGTTTTGTCACTGTTCATATTTTAGGTGCACAGAGTCATGCTTACAATCGCTGCAATCCATTCTACACCACATGCTAAAAATTAAAAAATAAATCTCATCTCCCCGGGAGATGAGAAGGGAACAGTCAGAAATGGGAGACAGAAGTTACAAGGAGCTGAAATCCATCTAGGGAACAGGGGAAGCTGGGGAGACCGCCAGAAACCACAGAGAGAAGAGGAGGGTCCTGGAGTTCAAGTAATGAATCATAAAGACAGTGGGCCCGTTAGCGTGGCCTAATACATTCTTAGTGTATTAACCAGTATAAATAATGAAATGAGCTATTTCTTTTGGCTAAGTAATGAGAGGGGAAAATTTGATTAAAATGATCATTTCTCTTTGCTGTGCCTGAACTGGCAATTAGGCAAAGCTCTTAAATAGAGGAAAGTACCCAGTTCTTTATTTTCCTCATTCTCCACACATTTTGAGATAAATTATTTTCCCTCCTCTGTTTTACTGGATAGTCCCCAAGAAATTTTGCTGCCTTCCCACATCGATCCTGAATAAAAAAAAAGCCAAAAGCAAACCTGGGGAGTGTGCCCCCCAGTAGTGCCTAGAATGGAGGGGGAAGTGAACACCGACCTAGGAGCCTTCCTGAGATGCTACCAAAGGGCAGAAAGAAGGGCTGGGATTTCCACGCTGACCTGTGAAGGCTTGTGAAATGCCACAGACCCCTGTCAAATCTGGAGACTCTTCTAATAGCGCTTTAATGCCTTGAAGCTATAAACTGCTTGATTTGGGCAGACTCCACGTCTTATCAAGTTCGAGCGCATCTCTCTCTTTTATTAAAATTCAGGTGGTGCAGGAAAATCCACACAATGTAGATGTCATTCTTTTTCTGGTTTTGAAGTTTATTTGGTTTGAAGCCAGGAAGATAAATCTGGAATTCCAGGGGGTCACCACCTTCTCCTGCTGACAGTGGGGTTCTGTATTGGACACCATTGGATCAGGGTCCTTGGGTATCAGTCCTAATTCGAGAACTTTGATGCTGCTCTTTCCCCCTACACTTCCATCCAACCAGTTATTGGAAATCACTTGATCAGGTAACAGATCGCCAGAGGCAGCTTAGGTCCTGCCCACCTCATTTCCACCATGCCACCCTCACACCTGCACCTGCGGAGTTCCCTTTTATTGCCTGTGTTCATGCAGCAGATCCCTGGCATCTCACAGCTTTTATGACCCTGACCCTTGAAGGCCAGAGACCAAAGTGAGGAAGGGGGATTCGATTCACTTTTAAGACATTTCAGAAATTCTACTTTTAAAGTTGAGAAAATGTTTAAAGTTGAAAAGCCATACTTAATGGCACTAGTTCTGAATCCCAGGCCTTCACTACTGACAGCAAAGGTGCCGCTTGCACTAACGCCTTGCAATATAAGCTGGGCCAGATCCTTGCGTAAATGAAGGGAGCAGCTCCCCAGCTCCTGGGCTCTTCCGGCTGGCAGAGCTCTGTGGCCCCTGCCGTGCGCCGGCCCCTGTGCCCCTGTGCTGAGCCCTGTGAGTCCTTTCATAGCTGTGTGCTCGTTTGGTTACAGGTGGTGGCTATTGATGTGGACATGGCCTTTTTTGAACCTAAAATGAGGGAAATTCTTGAGCAGAACTGCACAGGCGACGAAGACTGCAATTTCTTTGACTGTTTTTCCAAGTGTGATTTGCGAGTCAACAAGTGTGGAGCACAACGAGTCAACAGCAACCTGCAGGTGAGCCGGGGCTGGGGTGTCCTCACTCCCGGGCTGCCTCTGCGGCCACCGCGGAGCCTCCCGTCAGTGCGGCCGAAGGTCACCTTTTCCATGCCACTTGGGCTCAGTGTGTTCGGTAAGGGCAGAGACGGTGGGACACGGAGTAATCATTTGTTCTTTGCTGTCAACCCCATGGGGCTGCTGGCCCAGTGACCCTGTGGGATCTAACGGGCGGGGCTCCCAGCAAGCTGCCCCAGCCACAGGGACTTGGATGGCTGTTTTCTCTAGGTCTCGTTTCTGCATCTACAAAATCACACACACACACACACACACACAAGTGCCCAAAGGCTGATCCATCAAAGACAAGCTGAAAAGAGCACAGATGAGTCCTGAAAAACTGGCCCAGACAGGCAAGAGGTTAGGGCCAGCCAGTGGGTACAGAGGGAGAAAGACCAGCAACATGCAGGAATTGAATCTGGGTCCAGGCGCTGAGTTGAGTCTAGACGTCCGGGGATCCCCAGTGCAGGGCTGATACCCCATCGGTGGGAAACATCTCTTGTTAGGCAGAATCTCGAAGCTCTCAGGCAGGTGTGGATGAACCTGGGCCCACACGTGTTGAGTGCAGCCCAAAGAGGTCATGGCAGAGAAGCTGGGCTCCCCCCAACCCCCCCGTCACAGCCTAGTTGCGGGCAATTGTTGATCTGTGCTCTTACCCCCGCCTTCCTGCCCTTTCATTCTCCTCACCTCCACAGTAGGCCACTCCTCCCTACAGTCAGTCCTACAATCTGAAAGGCCAGTGTGACCCCGATGTGGACCCCGTGATAAGGACTTAGAGCAGCCCACAGCCTGGTGCTGGTTCATGCCATAAGGGAGCACAGATCTCAGAGACTGGGGCAGCTAATCTGGTGGTCTCACCCCACAGGTGGAAGCACTAAGGCCTGCCCTTCGCAGCACAATGAGAGTCTAAGGTTACCAGCTTTAACACGTCAAGGGCTCTTACAGACCCATTTGAGAGGCAAGGGGAACATACACACAGAACTGGCAAGACAAACATGTAACAAATACCCAAGGGATGAAATCCACAGGGCCATAGAACCTGGAAAATTATCTAATCTTAATCAAAGACGTGCAAATTAAAGCTCAATGGTAATAATTTTTCATTTTTGACCATTGGGAATTGTTTTAAAATGCTATTTATTAATAGGAAAAGCATCAGGAAAATAGATACACATCTATATTGTTAATGTGACTATAAATTTCTACATCTCTTTGGAGGGTGTGTGGTTATTAGAAGTATTCACACTCTTTAACTGAGCGGTTTGGTTTGCACACATACCTGATTATTGCCTTTGAATAAAATCCTAGAAATCAAATTATACATTAAGGATATGAGAAAATATGAACCACTCATTAAGTGGAAAAATGCAGGCTATAAATCAGTATTTACCATAGGATCCTGTTTTTATTAAATAGTATGTGACTGGAAAGATAGACACCAAAACGTCGAAAGCAATTATCTGTGGATGGTAAGATTTCAGATACCTTTTATTTTCATCTTTTCTCCACTTTATAAATTTTCTATGGTGGTTCTGTATTACTGTTCTACCTTAAAATTTTATTTAAAATAAAAAATCCCTGCCCTGCATAAATGGAGAGATGGAAAGAATTGAGTTTTCTAAAATTTCAGAAATAGACCTAATCACACTGGGGCCTAATCACCTCACAGAGTCGCAGGTGACACAGGCAGCCCTCAGGCCGGTGCGAGAGGAGCTGTGTCACGCAGCGCACGGCGTGAGCGAGTGGGCAGCTGGGCACAACAAATGAGCAAGTCAACTCCTATTTCACACCTTACATCAAACTGCATTCCTGATGGTTCAATACTGACAAGAAATGAAATCCTAAGTGTACCAGAAAAGAACTGGAAGAATTTCAGATATTACCCTAGAGTAAGGAAGGCCTTTCAAAGTATGAACAAAGCTCAGAGGCTGTCACAGGAACAAGGAATCTAAAGGGAAGGGAATGCACGTACATGCTGTATGCACAGCTCCCCCCAGAATCCAAGGAAGTGGTGGCCGCTCGGAGCCGGGAGCGCGGTGTGTGGCTGTCAGGGGTGGGATGGAGACTAAGATCAGAGTCTGTCTTTTGGGACATCTTAAATTTTGCACATGAAAATGTAGTGCCGATTCAAAGAAGGAATGAGATGACTTGTTTTTAAAAAAAGTCCTCACCCCTGCAGGGGATGGGAAGTGGAGAGTAAAGTCCTCTGTCCTCTGTGAGGCAGTAGCTCTGTGAAGTGGGGGCGTGTGTTAGATGAGCCCAATATTGTGTGAAACAGAAAAATAAAGCACTATTAATTATGAGGCTCTCCCAACAGGCAGGAAACCATGAAAGCAGTAAAATAACAGCATGTTTAAATTGAGAATTTAAAGAGCTTCAGCATTGGTGAATTCCGTACCCTGTTAGAATGAAAGGCTGTGAGGTGGGGGCTTCTGCTGCTCCTGAAATAAAGCATTTTGAAGGCCGCTTACAAGAGCCTTCCCTTCCGGAGCATCTGACTTCTCACCAACACGTCTTGGGGCCCTCGGGACAACCCTGTTACTGTGACCAGCTTGTGGATGGGGTGACCAAGCGAGGCCGGCTGCCCTCAGATCTGCCCAGGAGCCGCTCCTTACGCAGCAGTTACTGTCTGTGGCACCTGCCCAAGGGCACGTTCTTTACGCAGTGGTTCCTGCCTCTGGCACAGTCTCCCTTTTCTCTTCAGAAATGTACTCAGACCTTTCTGAGGTGCCACCCAGGACTTTCTCCTCTCTGAGCCTGGAAATGGAATTTTCTACTTCACATGGAGGTGGCGTGCTCCTCTTTGGCACAGTTTGTTCACGAAACCGAGTAGATTAAGCTCTGGGAGGGCAGCACTTTTTAGGCTCCATCTCTGTGGTGCCCTCCCTGAAGGAACGGGGGATGTGGGAGAACAGCAAAGGTCTGTGTGAGGACCAGTTGCCGGAGGCTCGCACGGGAGGCGTGCTGCCCTGAACTGACACTCACTTTCCTTCCTCTCAGGTCATCTGTGACAAAATTTTCCGACATTGGTTTTCCTCAACTCTCAAGAGCTCTGCCATTTCCTTCCAGCTGCAGCTGCAGCTCCAAGAGGCAGCAGAGGAATGTGCGCACCCAGGAGGCCCTGCTGGGAGCTCCCCGGGACCAGCCCCTGCTGTGTTCTGGAAGCTTCAGCACCTCCTCCAAGCCTCGCTGAGGGAACTGCAGGAGGCGGAGAAGTAGTCACACCTGGCCTTCAAGATGCTCGCTGGGAGGTGACCTTCAGCTGAGACCCTTGCGCGTTGTAAAGAGACATTTTTACTATGCAAACGAGCTGTCTCGAAGACACCACTGCGGCCTGAAGCGTGACATCGCTTCAACTGTCTCAGGGCACGTTAGCTGCCCTCCTCCAGCTCCTCTCCAGGCCCCACTCGCTTGACCACAGCGAAGGCCCGTCTCTCCTTTGACACCTGTGACCGTGTGTACGTGTATGTGAGCGTGCATGTGTGTGTGTGAGCATGCATGTTGTACAGGTGTGTGAGTTGCAGGTGTGGGGTGTGTGCACACACCTACGTGAGCAAGTGAGCGTGCCATGTGTGTGTGCTGGGCTCCCTAGCATGTACTCTGGGACAGCTCGCCCAGCTAGCCGAGGAGAGCGAGTTAAAGACAATGGAGAGAGAGCTGCAACTTCGGGAAATGTAATTTGGCTGGAGAGTGTGTGAAGGGCAGCTTCTCACGGTTCCCGTTTTGAAGTGTCCGTGAGTCAGGGGGCACTTACCACTGCAGGGAGCCCTCAGCGCCCGACACAGGTTCGCCCAGTTCCAGGGGGTCCGGCCCCTCGGGACCTGGAAGGAGAGCGGGTCCCGCGTGACCACTGACTACAGTATGGGCAGGAGGGAGGCCAGCACCCGTGTGCCTGTTGAATGCAGAGCAGCCCTGGCACCGCCTCACACTCTGTGGACTCGCTTTCAGTGGAGCTCCTGGTGGAGCGCTGGTGTGGGAGGCTCAGGCCGGAGGAGATGCATTCTGGTCACTCACGGGAGGGACAGGCAGCGAAACCCCAGGTCCCCAGGCACAGCCTGGAGAGACCTCGTCCAGGAGACAGGCAGTGCTCGGCAAACCCTCAGCTGGTCACCTTACTGGTGGGCTGAGGAGGACACTGAGAGAGAATAAGGAAAATCTGTTGGCAGTTTACAACTCGAAAAGACAAATTAATCTGGAGTTAAAAAAAAAAATCACAAATTGACAAATTCCAAGGTCTTTCTCGTTTCCTTGCTCAAACCCCTTCTGATCAGACCAAGGGGAATCGCCTGCTGATGCTCGTTAGGATGCACTGCTCCAGCCGGGCCGCCGGGTCAGCGCCAGGCCCACCGAGGAATCACGCGGGAGGGAGAAGATAACCTAAGGCCCAGGGCTTCTGAATTCTGCGGCTCCCACACACGTTTGTTCGGAGGGGCATGGCTATGTGCTATTCCCAACCCCTCATCCCACACCTCTGGCATTTTTCCAAGTGACTGAAATCCCTCGGGGTCTTCTCTCTCATGCTTATGAGTCACTCTGCATTTGCATTCTTTGGCAGGAAGAAAGCACCCATGTCAGTCATTCTGCAGCAGAGTTAATTAAAACCACAGATTGATGCGGGCCTTGGACTAGTAGATTCTGAAAGAAGAGAATTGGCTTCCGTGTACTGAGTGGAGGCTCCTGTTTCTCCAGAGCTGTGTGCCCTATGAGCTTGTTTTCTGCGGTTGTGGAAGGCTTCCCAAACACAGGGACCATCTTTATGAGCAAAAGGTTTCCCTGAAGATGGGTGTGAGATAGAAGCAGAGGCAGGGAGCAACCGAGGTTTTGTGGTCTGTGCCCTTAGAACTGTTGGCTTTTGCATCATGAGGGCAAATGGGTCTCCTGTGGGCTGACCCAGGGATTACAAAGCCTCATTAGCGCTGGCTCTGAGCTAACTTGCCTGGCAGCAGAGCTGGCTGGCAGAAGAAAAGCTCATTTTCATTTCCACCAAAATGGAAACAAATGTTTTTGTTTATTCTGGAGACTGTGCAATATGTAATTACCCAAAACAATAGTGCTTTTATTATTGCAAAGGAGCAGCTTTATCCCTTCCCCACCCTTGTTTGACCACCCCAAACACACACCCCCGACACACACACACACACACACATGCACACGCACACGCACACACACACACACACACACACACACACACACACACACACACCCCTTTCTCATCCCGCCTGGAGATTGCATTTACTGCAGTGTCTCTTAAACTATCTGTGGTGAAGTCCAGGTTTTGTTTTGTTTTTTTATTTCAAACCCTTACAAAATAATACTTTAAAATAATACAATAAACAAACACTGTTGTATTGTTTGTTAATGGGACAAGTGAGGTGTTTCTTGCTTATCTGATTGAGCACCCACCCTGCTTGGAGATGAATGCTTCTACCTAAATGATTTCTATGTTTTGTTTTAATAACTTGCAGAGTAGACAAAACACTGAGAGATCTGTTGATGGAATCGACGAGGAGATTATAAAGATCACCAAGCACAGGCTAGTCCTTCTAAAGTTTTATCCACGTTAAAACAAAGAGTGCTTTATTCACATCCAGTCCCTCAGAAGTTAATTTTCACAATTTATCTTAATAAATTTTAGTTAAAAATATCTTTTGATGAAGCAATTCCAGATTTTATGCCCCGCTGGGTTACAGCTGACAAACCTTAACTGCACAGAAGTTGGAAGCATTCTGGCCATGTGTCATTGAGCACCTGGGCGGTGCCTGACTGGACGTCCCAGCAACATCACACAGCTACGAACACTGCCAGACCCTCCTCTCAATGTTCTTCTCCTCACAGGAAGTCAGCAGCAAGCAGTTCATGTATGTGCCACCACCGGGAAGGCCTCTTGGCTTGCCTCCCATGGGTCCTGCCCCTTGCTCAGCACCTGCCTGCTCAGGATGAATGTCCAGGGTGTGAAATTATTGGAAGAGCAGCTATTTTTAAAACTTGATTTAGAGGCTGTTTTTTAGTAGCTGGGAGTGGAGGACTTTGGCTGGAAATTCCAAAACCAGTGGCCATATGAAGTTTATTTACTGTGCTTGCACCCGACAGTTGGTAAAAAAATGTCACCCTGGCTCATAACCAATGTAATCTGTCCCACCTTTTGGATGGTGAGACCTGTATTGAAGCCTTTGGTACCTGACATTGGCCTCACCCATGCATTTTCCAGTGGAGTATGTTTATGATGTCATATGACTGCCGAGGCGAAGTTCATGAGAAATCCTACAGAAAAATGTCAAGAGCAGAGTGGGTGCTGCCAGCCTACTCTGAGGTTCTTGGGGGGGCAACAGATGTCAGGAGTCTGGGGGTTTCCTTCCTGTCTTTAGGAGATGCCTCCGAACTTCAGAAACATGCCCACCCTTCTCTGCCTCTTCCTTGGGGCACATGGTGTTCAGCCCCCTTTCTTCTCTTGAAGAGCTGCCAGTCCCCATGGACTAGCGGTTCCCCTGGACTAGTGGTTCCCCTGGACTAGTGGTTCAAGGCTTGGCCTCTGAGATCAGACAGTCTGAAGCTCTATCACAGTGACACTATTGATCACTGATCAGCTTTGTGACATTAGGCGAGTCACTTCACTTCTCTGGGCCTTAGCTTCCCCGTCTGTAAGCATATTGGTGGCTGTAATTCCTTGTCTGGATAAGGACATTTGTGAGGACTAATGGGACAGTGCATGGTGTGTGGACTCACCTCGAGAGCTCTATAGCTTCTTATTTATCAGTGATGCCAAGGCTGGCCTCCATGGAGGATGGGATCCCTCCTGCTTCCCTTGCCCACCTTTCTCCCGGGCCCCTAAAGGCTCCTTCTCACCTTTGTCCAAGGTTCTGATGCTGTGTCCCCAGTCCCCAGTCGCCAGCTCCTGAGGTCATGTCACACAGGCCAGTCCTAATCCTGCTCCTCAGCCGAGGGGGTCACATTCTGCCTCGTATCCAGGGGAACCGCCACAACGCAGGTCTGGAAGCCGGTAGAGAGCCTCTGCTATGGACGGCATATTTGCAGAAACCTAAAGCCCATGTGATGGGAGTAGGAAGTGGGGCCTTGGGGAGGTCATGAGGTTATGAGGGTGGGGCCCAAACCTTGGGATCTGGGCCCCCAAGAGTCACGAGAGAGGTAGGACGATGAGGGACCGTGGCAGCTGGAGAAGGAGCCAGCGGGAGCCTGGGGGCCAGCGGGAGCCTGGGGGCCAGCGGGCTGATGCCCTTCAGCGGCATCGCTGATCTGACTGTGACAGAGACCCTCTGACCCGAGGGAGGACAGGCCAGAGGAGACGCAGGTCCAGGGGGCCTCTGACAGTCTGCTGGTGTCTGGCAGGTGGAGAAGGGGGCGCGTACTTGAGTCACATTGAAGGGGACACCAGCAGTGTGGCGGCAGGTTTGCTCTGGGTCGGGGGCAGTATTTGGGGACCCTGAAGACAGCTGGGTGAGGTGCTGGGCCTCACAGTGAGAGAGACGCAGGAGGAGAGGGGCAACCGGCAGGGGCTGCAAAGGCCAGCAGCACCTCCTGAGCCGGAAGGGCTGTGCACACCCAGGTGGAGGGGATCCAAACAGTGCAAAAGGCAGAGAGGCACAGGGAGAGCCTTCTGTCACCCGGGAAGGGGGAGGTCAGGGCTTAGGGTGAACTAAACATCTTCTTCCCGGTTAGTAGGAAGTCCTTTAGGACAGAAGCTTGTATTGAGAACTCAGCACCACGATGAGAGGCTGTGCCGCCTGACCGGTATTTCAGGCAGTGAGAGAAAGTACTAGAAAGACTTTCAACATCCAGGCCAGGATTGCCTGTCAGTGCAGTGGACAGGGCAGGCCAAGTCTGTTTCATGTACGTGCATGTGCACACAAGCACACACGCATGTGCACAGACACACATGCACAGACAGGCACATGCACACAGGTGGAAGGTGGAGGGAAGCTTCCCTGAGAATAGAAAGAGAGAAAGGGACAAAGGACTTACATTATTGCCTATGATGAATTGCACTAGACGTTAATGCCATGGAAACATCGTAAGAATTGAGAAATTAGGGAGCAAGTGTTTCAATCTGTCCTTATAGGTGACAAGAGCAAAAGCCCATGAGGTGAAGGAATGATAGCTGGAAACAGACGGGCAGGGTGACAGTCAGGGTGGACTGCAAAGGGTTGTCCCTGCCATTCACCCTATTCATGACTCAGTCACACTGACACTTGGGTGAATTGCTGGGTCACTACTTAATTTGTACCTATGCGTGTATTCCGTTTTAAACACGTGTAATTAATAACTTAGTCAAAGAGGAAACCAAAAAGAAAAAACCTGTCTTTCTAGCTGTCAAGTTGCTTTTCTCCCGAAGCCAAGTGCTGGTGACCCTGAACGAGGGGTGGGGCCCTAGACAGGACGGGAGGAAGACAAGGGCCTCCGTCTGTCCAGCCTGTCCCTACTGGCCCCCGGTGACGTGCACAGGAACTGACTGAGGCGCCCAGCCTGCGGGCGTGCAGGCTGGGGACTCTGCTGCCCTCAGGGCTGCTGTCTGCTCAAGTGCAGTCGCCGCCCAGGGGGTGGGGGGGTGGGGGGTAGGGGGGGTTCGGCACACAACAGTGGTGCCTGTCACCACCTCCTGGCCATCTGCTGTAGTGCAGGATCATGCGGTGTCCAGGTGCTTCACAAACATGACTCAGGTACTTCCCCTCACACCCTGAGGCTGGAACTCGCTCATACTGGAAACAGAATGACTAGTAGATTCGGACTCCCAAGCCCAGCTTGGACCTTCGCCTCCAGTGCGCTGAGATGAAATGCTTCACTGAAGTCCACCTATGTGTCCTGTGTGGGGCCATCTGTGGCTGATGGCAGTGCTCAGAGAGCTCGGGACCTCTATGCCGACTGGTGATAAACGCTTACCTGGGGGCCTCCACGGGCGTCCCAGCGTGTAGGCACGACGGAGCTGCGGTAACCTCTCTTCGGGCTCGAGCTCGTGTTTGGCACCCAATGTGTCAGGAGCGCTGCTGGTGAATCCAAACTCCTAGAAGGCCTGGGATGCAAGCTCAAGACAACCACCAGGCTGTGCCGGGAGCAGGCTGGCTAACAGTAAAGACCTGGGAACAGCCCAGCACGATGACCCGGGCGACATACGTGTAGGGTGCCTGGTCCCCACACTGATCTGGCATCTTAGCAGGGCTGTGAGGACCATGCTAACTCGTGCTCTTTGTACCCCGTCTGCACCTACCAAGTCCTCGGCATCTCACGCACAGTGTCAAGGCTGCTAGATGGAAGAACAGGCTGTAGTAGTAACAGTGCCTGACATTGCCTGGGCACCGCCTATTGGGCACCCATGGTGCCATGTCGTCTGTCACAGGGATGGACCACCAGCATGCGTGTGAGGAGGGCCCATAGCTGAACTCACCCAGCTCGCACCTGCTGTGGGGCCCCCGGGCTGTCTGGCTCCAAAGCTCTCAGGGCCGGAGTAGCAATAACCACCAGATGCTGCTTCTGAGCTGGGGCTTCAAATTTGGCGTTAGCAAGCAAAGGGATGCCAGGCCCCTCAGGTGCCTGGCCCACACTCCTGCAGAATTGTTCAGCATCCAGAAAAGCCCGAGGCCTGGAGCGCAGGTGGTGTTTGCTTTCCAGTCTTGTCGGCAGGAAGAAACCAGGCAGCGTGGGTCACCGTGGGGGCTGCGTCAAGTGACTGGGGCCTGGGCTGCACAGAAGCCGGCGCTCTCGGTGCCTGCCTCCCGTGCTCCGAGGAGGCTCTGTGCTCCCTCACCTCCTGTGTCCTTGGTGGCCTCGGGCCCTGCCACCTGAGGTGGAGACCATGTGGACACGATGCAGTTAAACACTGTGGTCTGGGGACCAGGCCAGGAAGATGTGGCTGGGGTCCTGGGAGCTTGCGGCGGGATGAAGACGAGGCCCAGCCGGGAGCTGCAGCGTGCGGTTCCAGGGCCTGGATGGATGTGACCCGCACCATGGAGCTCCAGGGGACAGTGGTGGCATGGAGGTGGGGTGCCAGTGCATCCTGCTGGGACAGAGATGCATCGTCACTGGAGCGGGTTCTGGAAGATGTTCTTAGACGGTGGGCGGGAACAGGAGCCGGGCAGGGTAGCTGTGGAAATACAATGGAGGCCCTCCCCACCCCGACGGCCCTGAGGGTCTGGGCACTGACTAAGTCCGAAGAACTGGAAGGGATGCCACGCAGCTGAAGTCCTGTCTGATTCTGGGGGAGGTGCCTCCTGTGCAAGAAAGTTAATGCCCTCTAGCTCATTAGCACGGGACTCCACAGTCATTTAGAACATGCATGTTCCAATTTATATAAAACTCTGAAAGTATACATACACAACAACTGATGGTGATTATCTGAGGGAGGGTGGGATGGATATTTACCCCATAAATTATATTCTTGTGCATTGAATAGTTCAGATTCTTTGTAATAATCATTTGTAGTAATTGAAAATTAATAATATATATTTTAAAAGTCAATGTTTGCAAAGTTTTCTAAGAGTCAGTTTTCAAACTTTCCCAGGGAAACTTATTTTGAACTGTCAAATTTAATAAGATTATGGGCCAAGACCTTGGAAGAAAATACAAGTCTATAAAAATCAAGGTTATTTTTGCCCAAATCCTTAGTATGGAGTTGTTCTGTGGATCGGGAAACCAAGTGATTCTGCTCTCACACTCAAAATATGTGCTACCTGTCTTAGAATAACATCAGAAACAGCATTCATGTCAGTGTAAGAGGCTTGATGTTGTGTTTTCTGAAACCAGAATTTGTATTTGTGAATATGACCCCACATAAACACAGATGCTCTGATAGGCTATGCTCATTTTGAGGGAAAACTGCACTATTTGAGCCTGCTGCTTGTTCTTAGAATGCCTTAAAATTCAAGGCACTATTTACCCAAATACATTGACTGGATGGAATTTGACTTTACTTCTGATATTACCTTTTCTTGTTTTGTAATTTTATGAAGTAATTAATCTATTTTTTTTTTATGATAAGCAGGCTATATACCTAAATATAAATAGAGACAAATGACATGTCTTTAGAGTCCTGTCTTTCTCCAGAGACCTGGGGCACGTTTGTGGATGTCGTTACCGCGTAACTGGTCAAGGCCACTGGAGTCATGAAGCCTTTCCTTAAGACTTTCAAGATACAGGTAATGAAAAACAGAAATAGCAGGCCAAGAGGGCGGGTTTGTAAATCTTGTGACGGAAACTCACTGGAAGTATGTTTAGGGTCTTTGATACTCTTAGTTTGGCTTCTGATTTTCCTGCTTGAGGACACTGAGAATATATTTACTCCCAAGCCAGGGCCACAGCTGTCGTGACCCACCTACAGTCCTTTAGGATGGAGGAGAGGGCCGGCAAAGCTCCTCTGCTTGGGCCCAGCATGAGCTGGAGGTGCTGGAGTTTGTTGGAAACGCGCACAAGCACATCTGGTCTCGGCCAGACCTTTGCTCTTGGATCCATCTTTGCGACTGTTTTCCAAAGCTTCATGGGGCTGGAACCTCCCCCCAGGGGGACTGTAACAGGAGGGGCTCACGGGAGGACAGGAAGCACCAGATGGTGATTTGGAAAGTTCATGGCAGGGTGGGTGGGTGAAAAACTTTCTACTTGAAGTCAATGGTGCAACTACTTTTCAGGTCAGTTGACACGGGCCTCAGAATACAGCCGTTCCCAGGGTCCATGTGGGCTCGTGATGCATTCTAATGTGGGTTTTCCTTGGGACACAGAGGTCTGAGATCCCTCCTGAAGCCGCCAGTGCAGGCGTCTCTGTAGCTTGACTCAACAGCTGAGTCTGAACACTAAAGCAGGAGACCCAGTTCCAGCTGGTAAACAGCCAGAAGGTTTAGATGCTCTAAGGAAAGATCTGGAATATGTTAGGATTGGAGAGAGAAGCTATTGTTTCAGTTACCCATCCATCCATTCACCATCTATGTCTGTCTGTCTGTCTATCCATCATCAATCATCTATTTTTTTATGATAGTATTTCCTTAAAAAAGAGATAATTTCACAAGAGTTGAAAAGAAAATATTAAGTAAGATGGCACTATTTTTGGGAAATAGCGTCCATGGAGATGCTGAAAGTATAAATGCCATAGACTAGCACGGGACTTGGGAGCTTCCCACAGTCTGGGTGCCAAGCCTTCATCAATACACTGGTGGAGCCCATCAGCCGGAAGTTGGCAGAACACCCGGTGCCGGGAGCGAGACACTGAGGAGGCAGGGGACTGGGGTGAAGTCCTCCCTGACCCCACTCCCCACCATGGGAGTTTTCTAATAAGACACAAGCCCTCCACGTGCACATGAAACAACGAACCGCATTGCCCCGGCCTCCCTCTTCCCCTGGGGCCCCAGCCTCTTGGGCCTTTGTAAACATACCTTTTAAAGCTGTAGCTGGGTCTTCGTGAGGTCAAGGCAGCGGGCCTTAGGAAGCGTGATGGAGTGAAAAAACTCGGCGCCTCTGTCTTCACAGTGTATTTGTCTCCTTTGCTGCCTTTATTTTGGGTCAAAAAGCTTTTGCTCAGCCTTGCGGCCCTGCACCCAGGCTTGTTAAACATCAGAAGGAATTTTGCTCACGGCTTAAGATTGATGCAAACAGCCCCTTACCCAAGACTCGCCTCCCCCAGGAGATAAGGAAGTATGGACAAAAGTGACGACTGGGTTGTCAAGGACGAGTAGGAACATCACGGCCAGACTTGCCAACAAAATGACTGGACTCAACTGGCCAGGGACTCCTCAGGCCCTTGCTGGTGCCCGGATGTCTGAGGCTGGTCATCACCTCCTGACCTCCACCCTCTCCTGCTCCCCTCCTTCCCTAATATCAAAGGGGCTTGAAATCAACCTAAGATGAAGCCTGGGGACATTAGTCCTCCATCTTCTCAGTCTGCTGGCTTTTCAAATAAAATCGTTTTGTCCCAACACCTTGTCTTTGACTTACTGGCATGTCATGTGGGGAGTGGCACAACTTGGACTGGGTAATAGGGTCTGCCTCAGAAATGTGCCCATTTCTTATTCTCGGCAGGCCCAAGGAGGCATAACCTGAAATGCTTCTGTTGGTGGGTGGGTGATGCCCTGTGCCTGAGGGACACTGCTTCCTCGGCACCAGGACCCTGCCGTCTGTGGAGTTCTTAGGGAAGTACATGCATTCCTCCTTTGGGATCTGCACATGCATCTTTGTGCATGTGTGCACATGTGTGCATGTATGATCATGTGTGTTGCACCGGTTGGTACCAGCTCAGTGTTAAGAAGAAAAGGACGAGGAGTCCTCGAGGGGCCTACTGCAGGGAGCCACGCCAGCCCAGCCCTCCAGCACCCTCAGGGCACAACCTGAAGCGCAGTCCTACAGGGGCCCAGGTACGGCTGGGCTCAGCGTCGTTCTGCTGCAGGCCGGAGGGGTAGGCGTGGGGCTGGGGAAGGGCTTGCCTTTGTAGCGCTCTTCCTCTGGGACCTTGGCGGTGGTGCTCTCTTGTCCTGCGGTTCGGTCTCCCTCTTCTGCCTCAGAAGTCCCCTAAGTTGTTCTAAGCCTGGCGGGGAGTCCCCTGCAGCCGCCTGTGCTGGCGTGGGGAGCCGGGGAGGCAGCCACCGTCACCCCCGGCTTTGCCTGGGAGAGGAGCACCCGGGTCCCCAAGGCTGGGACTGGGGTTCTTCAGAGAAGCCTGGAAGGAGGGGCACCTCTGAGGGGCGACGCAGACCCAGGCCGCCCCCCGGGGGTGACCGCACTCACACTTAGCTTGGAGCCGCCGGCTGAGGGGCGCCCCAGCTGGTCAGTTAACGAACGTCCACAACTTACAAGGCTGAGTGAATTACTGAAGGCAGCAGATACACCCATTTGAAATCACAGAGAGCAAGACGAGGTGTTCAGACAGACTCAGCAGAACGAATCGGTGAAGGGATTGTTGCCAGATGGGCCTAATCTCTGGGCATGTGAAAATCAGCTTTGGTGGACACCGGGGCCGCAGAGACTAGGGTCTCTCTCTGCTTCTGCTGAGCCTTTGTGGCCTCCCCATAAACCCTGTCTCAGAGAGAACCAGCTAGTTTTACATCCATGTCCTAAAGCTCTGTGGGCTCCTGTTTTTTTCCCAGTGAAATCATATGCCAAGAAATTATTAATAGCTCAGTGTCAAGTCAGGAGGAAGTATTGATCTGAAGAAAGCACTTTCCTCAATTGCTACCCGCTTTGGAAATTGGAATTGACATTAAGCCTTTTCTGATTCCTTGAAAGGAATAAATGGGAATCAGTAAAATAAGGCTCATTGGGGCCTAAACAAAGAAACTGGTTGGGAAAGAAAAATATTAAAAATAAATGAAAAATGGTGGAGACACATTTGAGTGGAAAAGAGTATCCACAAGTAATACTGATACCACTCCTACTAGCTGCAGTGTTAGGGGGGGACCCTCAGAGATATGACAGGAGGATTTATCAGTCATTCATAAGGGGAAGACAAAATCCCCGACAGCCGTGAGCGGTGCTGCGGGCGTGCATGGCGGTGCTCTAGGGGAGCTGTCGGTGAAGTTCGGTGACTCATGGGCGGAGCTCATCCACGTGTTAGCCCAGTCCTGGAAGCTTCATCTCCCACTCAGGAAAGGGATGCCAAGAATCTGTTAACGGCAACATTTAGTGACAAAAGAAGGTAGACTGGAGCCATCTGTGGGCCATGAAGTATTTTGCTGCTCTGGCCTTAAAAAGGAAGATAATTTGGGAGTTGTCACGGAGTCCAAGGTCTTCCACTTACCACATGATGTGCCTGTAAGAGACAAGGTGTCAGGGCATGGGAAGCACTTTATTGGGAAAACCAGCAGTCCAAGAAGATGGCGGACTAATGTCCCAAACTGTCATCTTAACTTAGGGCTGATTTCAAGCTTATTTTATATTAGGGAAGGAGAGGAACAGGAGTGGGTAGAAGTCAGGAGGGCTTGACTGACCTCAGACATCCTGGGTATCAGCAAGGGCCTGAGGAGAGGATGAAACTCCTTGTCCCTGACCAGTTGACTCCAGTCATTTTGTTGACATGAGTTTGGCCATGACGTTCTTGTAAGTCCTTGACAATCCAGTCATTTTTGTTCGTGCCTCCTTATCTCCTGGAAGAGGCGAGTTTCAGATAAGGGGCTGTTTGCATCATCTTAAGCTGTGAGAAAAATTCCTTTTGATGCTTAACAAGCCTGTGCACAGGGCAGCTCTGAGAAGTTTTTTGACCCAAAGATTAAGGCAGCAAAGGAGACAGAGACAATGTGAATGCAGTGACGCCAGCTCCCTAAAACCCACTAAAGCCCTCACCATTTTTCTGCTTTAAAATCCCCATTGACTATAGAAAAGTCCAAATGCTGGCTAGAGTATTGTGAGTATTCAGAGTATCTGTGTTAAATTGAATCATCGTAGCTCTGCACAAAGCCATGTCCTTAAAAACAAGAAAACTTTTTAGAGCAGTTTTATGTTCACAGAAAAATTGAGCAGAAGATAGTTTCCATATACTCCCTGCCCCCAAACATTCAGGCTCCCCACTACCAGCACCCCCACTCCCAAGAGCAGTGTGTCTGGGATCACTGATGAACCAGCACTGACACTACCCTCAAAGTCCATCATCTACATCAGGGTAAAAAAAAAGTGAACTCCAGAGTTACCCCGAGATCACTCTGTGCTCCTGGGAGGCTTGTCCTCAGCCAGCTTGGGGATCACTGAACCGTGTTCATTCTCTTCCGCTAGGCCTGCCTCCGTTTTTAGAGCTAACTGCACACAGCACTGCTTTCCTCACCAGATAATATTCAAGAAACTGTTTACTCACTGGATACCCTGCATTTCTAGGGCTCACAAAATGTGTGTTGAATTGTTTTTGTAAAGATGTCCCACTTGATTATATTTTTATACCACCATTTGGAATAAAAACTAACACCAATGTGTTTAAAGTGCCTTTGGAGTAGTTCTTTGTGGAGGCTGGGGGGCCGCCTTGACACTATAAGCTGAGGCCAGGGCTCCCGAAAGCCATGAAGGGGGACCCCTCACCAATCTGCCGAACTGTCCTCAACCTGCTCATTGATTTCCAGTTTCAAGGATGTTCTCTACAGAAGCAAAGACTGCATTTCAGGAAGGCGGAGCCATCCTGAGGTCCCCCTGTGTTAGTCCCTGCGGGGGCTGTAACAAAGTAGCGCTACCTTAGTGGCTTAAAAAGACACAAACTTATTCCCCTGCAGTCCTGGAGGCTAGAGGGCCAACATCTGCTCCTCCTGGCTGGCGTCAGGGTGTTGGCAGGAGGCCGGCTCCTCCTGAGGCCCCCGGGGACAGTCCTGTTCCTCACTCCATCCTGCTTCTGGGGCTGCTGTGTTCCTGGGCCTGGGGTCGTGTGACTCCCACCTCTGCGTGGTCACACCACCTCCTCCTATTAAAGGACACTTGGGATTTCGTGTAGGGCCACTAGGTGGCCCAGGATCCTCTCTCCACCTCAAGGCCCTTAATGTGACCACACCTGCCAAGTCCCTCCTGTCATTAAAGCTTCCAAGGATTAGGGCATGGACATCGAGGGGTCAGCAGTCTAGATGAAGGAACAAACGCAGGCATTTGACAGGTTCACTCACCTCCTCAGCAACTAAAATCAGCTGCTTGGAGCGATGAGCAGTTTGCTTGATGAGAAGGCAGCAGTCCAGCCGCGGGGGTACTGTGCGCTGCATGCCCAGCCGAGGCTGCCTGGGTCTGACGGAGAGGAGCCCGGGGGTACTGGGGAGACAAGGGCAGCAGAGCGCCAGGGGCAGGTGGCACCTGCTTCCACAGGGACGTGGCCGGGAAAAGGCCAGTGCTGGGAATGTCTCTGCTGACTGCTGTGCCTGACTGCGAGGCTGGCAGAAAGCCGAGAGCTTTGGCCACATGTTGGTTATTACCGTCATCGCTTCAGAATAACGAGGACTGGTTCTATGCTGAGCTATCACGTTTCCAAACGGAAATACTAGATTTTCACTTTGTTTTGTCCTTTTCCCCTAAAGCCACACAGCTCTGAGAAACTTCATTCTTCTCTGAAGCAAGATATTACTGCATGAACCGGAGCGTTTCTAAGCACAACAGGTACAAATACTAGAATGGAGGCTCATGGCGTACAAATCACCAAGAGCCTTTCGACAAGGCCTTTTCGGGGAGGTTGAAAGGAAGGGAATATTTTTTCAAAGCACCTCAAGATTATGAATAGAAAGTCACTCAACTTAGATAACTATTAAAAAGAGAGACATTCTTTTCCTTAAAGCAGTAACTGAGTAATAATGCTTTTGTCTTTGACACCAAATAAAGTCATTTTAGATTCCTTTGAGCTGCTAACGCTTGGAACTGACTTAGAAACCAGTGCCCCTGGGCCTGGTCGGAGTGTGTGGGAATGTGTTCTCTTGCAAGCTTCCCATAGGGAAGGGGGCTGCGGAGCCGCGTGAAGCTGAGAGGAGGGTCCCAGAGAGGCCACCCACCAGTGCCCCGGGAGAGTGGGGAGCGGGCAGAAGGAACCTCTTACATCTGCATCCCAGAGGAAGGCGCTGCTATGATCAATGTGTGACTCCCCGGGGGAAGACAGTCTGCCCGCCGCCAGCACTTCCAGCCTGCTTGCAAAACAAGATTCACCTCACGTCACAGCAGGAAGCCCAGTGGCCGGCATGGCACTCCTGGACTGGCCTGGGGCTCTGAAGCCCAGCACCCAGACCGCCTGGGTGGGTAATCATGAAACACCGACTCTTTCTCGGCCTTGTTTTTGTTTGCTTAAGGCAGAATCCAGTGCCCCCAAATGTCATAGGGGTCTGAAGGCAGTAAAGCCTAGTGCTGAAGCGTGCACACAGATTCAAATCACGTCACCCCGCACGTGTGTGCCTCAGTTTCCCCATCTGAGATCAATGCTGTCACCCCTGATGACAGCCACGGCTTCGAGTGCCTGTCACTGCCTGCACTGGGCACTACTCAGCCTGGCATGGAGCTGGTGCACAGAGGACTGTTAGCCGAGTGGCCGGGACAGTGTTTCCCAAACCAGAGGCTCTGTGACTGAGGGGAGGAGCTGGGCCTCCAGTCGGCTGACTGCCGACAGCCGGGCACTTGGCTTCCTGCTTGGGAACGGCCGCTCTCCCTGCTTCTTGGCGACACGTAAGGCTGTTACCCTCACACAACATGGCAACACGGGGATCATTATTCACCCCAAAGTCAGCAGTGGGGTCATGGTGGGGGATGCCAGCTGATGGAGCCCTGACACTGGGGCCCCTCCTCCCCTTGCCTGCCCCCCGCCTGCGGCTCTGGTCAGGGGCTGCCCTGCAGTCCCCCAAGGGGCCCTTGGCTGGAGGCAAAGCAGCCGTGGCTCCCAGGCTGCAGCACTGAGATCCTTGCCTCTCTGGGAAGAGACTTGATCTGGGGCCTTCCACGTCCTGGCTCTGCTCGGGGGCCTTTGGCTCAGAGATGCCCGTGGCCGGCCACCAACGACAACATCAGCAGAGGCTCTGGGGTCCGGCCAGCGTCCAACTCAAACGGCAGCAGCTGGAGAAGCGGAGGCGGGTTCAGGGGCCCCGAGAGCCCCGGGGGGATTCGAGGACGGGGCCCCCTGTCCGCTCACAAGGCGTTTCCCTGGGTCCTGGGGGCTGAGTCCCTGCCGCAGAGCCCGCGGGGTCCTCGCAGGATCACCGCGAGTCCCACCTACAAAATTGCAGCGGCGCGGTGGGGGTCCTCCTCGTGCGGGACCCCCTGGAAGAAACGAGTGCGGTTTGGAGGGAAAATTCCACGCAGTGACGCCCCGCCCCGCCGGACCGCGGGGTCCCTCCCCTCGGCTCGGCCTCCATGGCTCCCCTAGCGCGGAGCCGGGCCAGGTGCGGGCGCAGCCACAGCGGCCCCCGCGCCCTCGGGGGGACCCCGCCGCAGCACTCATCGCCGCCGCAGGCGCCCCGCAGGCCGAGGACAGGCTGGGGAGAGGCCGGAGGACGGGAGCCCGGGCTAGGGGAGCAGGAGCAAACGGCCCGTGCCTGGCGGCGGTGGCCGGGCCGCGGGGCGCCCCGGGGGCCTGACCCTGAGCGGTGGACAGACAGACAGAAAGCGGCACGTCCGTCCCGCCGCCTGGGCCTCCGCCGCGGAGCGCCACGGCCTGGGGGCCTGGAAACGCGTGTATTTCTCGCAGTCCCCGAGGCTGGGTGTCCCAGGCCCAGGCCGATTCGGGGCGCAGGAAGGGCGCTCCTCCGGGTCCCAGAGGCCTCCTTCCGCGTCCTCTGGAGGAGGGCAAGCGAGCTCGGGGGCGGGGTCCCTTTCATAAGGACACGGGTCCCCTCCATGACCCTGGTCACCCCGAAGGCCCCACCTCTCGATACCATCCCTGGGCAACCGCAGGTTTCGACTTGTGAATTTTGCGGATTCAACAGACTTTCAGGCCATAGCAGATGCTCCTTAGAATGTGGGTCCCGAAGCTTCCGTCCTGCGCAGGACAGCCTGCTGGGTCAGAACCCCCCCGTGCTGGTCACCGCCTTCCCCTGGCAGCTGGCCCGGCTCGGGGCGGGAGGACCGGCGGGCAGCCAGGTGCCCTGGGCTCTCCAGGAGGCCTCACCAGGGCAGGCTGAAAGTTGGGTGAAAGCTGGTATTTCCTGCTTACAACTGCAACTGCTTTGCTAATTCTAGTCATTGCCTTTATGGATAATCAGCGAAAGAGGCTTTTCAGTGCTGTTACCTGTTGTTGCTGCTTTTTGCTTGTTCTTCACCCACTGCCCCCTTGGGGGTGCCCATATCATGGGGGCCCCGCTAAGATGGGGGTCCTGCGGGGGCATGAGGAGCACATTCCCAGTGTCCGGGCGCTGCCAGGTGGCCGTCTCGCCTGAGGGCTGAGCCCTGGGCACGTTCACTCTGGATCCGGTGAGACTGACAGATGGCAAGGGGACATTGCAGGTAAAAGCGTTTGTGCCCAGGATTAGCAGATGCTGGCTGGTCAAGCGCTAGAATCACGTCGGCCTCCAGGGCAGTCCGCACGCAGCAAGCCGGTCACTGTCCCTAGGCCCCTCCACCACCTGGCAGCCCCAGGGCACTGGGCAGAGTTCTTTCTATAGAGTCGATAACAGCTCATTGCCCACACGTGTGCACGCCTGCGCCTGTGAGCACTGTATGTGCTCAGTGGGCGAGCAGACCAGGGTCAGGTGAGAATCCTGGTCATGGAACTACCATTTGCTCTACAGTGGGGTAAAGACAGAGACCAGGGCCTCTGGGGAGGCAGGGCTGTGGGGGTGAAGGCACTGCATGCAGTGCAGGTGGGGTGGGTGAGGCGGCTCCCTGTCCCATGCATCATGGCCCCGGGACCCCCAGGGCTCAGACACAGGGTGTGGAACATGGTGAACAGTGCAAAAATCCACAGAGCTGGAGCTGGAGCTGGAGCTGGCAGCCCTACTCTCCAGGAAGCCTGGGGACGTTCACCCTGGGGGCTTTGCTCCCCTCACCCTGGTGACTGGCACGTCCTGCCTTGGGGACAGCCGAGCAGGGAGCTAATCACTGTTCTTGAACGGGGGCAAAACTGGGCCTCAATACTGTCACCTGAGCCCTGAGCGCCCTTCTGCAGAGGGGCAGGTGGGAGGCAATCAAAATCAAGGGCGGAAAACACTTTCAAAAGGCTGGCTCTCTTCTGCCTGGGCCCCCAGCCCTTCTCCCCTTTCTTCTCTTGTCTCCTCTCCTCAGTTCTACTCCCCTCTACGCCCTGGCAAGGTTGTGAGGGTGTCACGTGGGGACAGGCTGGGGCCCAACAGCCAAAGGGCTCCTTTATCCGACCGCAGGACCACCATGCAGTGCCCGCTGTGCAGAGAGCAGCTCCAGGAACTGGATGCCCTGCATAGTGGGTGGGCACCGCGGAGCCTAGAGCTATTTGGGGCATCAGCTCAAACACGGCATTGTAGTCCCATGAGTGGCAGGCCCTGAACAGATGAGAAAACAGCTTTTGCTAGAGTCCCAGATTACCTGAATCCTGGGGTGGAAAGCGCCGACAGCCAGCCAGTTGAACTGCTCACTGTCAGGTGGTGGAATTCCCTCTCCAAGTCGTCGGCCAGGTATCCAGCCAACACCTGAACTATTCCAAGGGGGCCCATCTGGACATTTTAACTGGCATAAAAATTCCTTGCATGAGTCAAAATCAGTTTCCATGTAGCTTCTGCCCACTGATCTTACTTGATCACTGAGATCATGCTGAAGTGTCTTTGATCTTCTCTCATTTGTTCAGCAGACGTTTGGAAGGTCCCAGAGTTACATGTACAGTAGTGACAAAAACAGGGACCCTGGACTCAGACCTCAGGCAGAATTCCCAGCTTTGCCATTTTCTAGTTGTGTGAACTTGGACAAGTGACTAATCTCTGTCTGGGTCCCAGTCCCGAATTTTTTAAGGGGGTTTGAAAACATCCAAAAGGTACAAGAATTAGAGGTGATGTTTGTACATTGTGATAAAAACTGGGAGAACAAAAGCTGTCATTATTTTTCAGATCATACCGAAAGAATTTATTACTTAGAAGGTGCAAAAGAATTAAAGAATAAAAAGTATCAATCACAAATTATCATTAATATAAAATGTATCCATTTTGCTGGAGGCAACAAATGATTAGGAGATGTAATGGATTGAGATGCTATTAGTAATAGGAAAAACAGCAACAAAATAAAATATTTACCAATAAATCTAATAAAAGATGTGTACACTATTTTTGAAGAAAATTGCATAATTTTAAGCAAGGCCATAAAGGAGACATAGCATAAAGGCTACAAAGATCATGTATTCAAAGACAGTATAAATATGTCCATTTTCTCTCCTAGTGGCTACTGCTGTGTATAAAAACACTCTAAATTTAGAGGCATTAAAAATGAACCAATTTTATGCTCACAGACTCTAAACCTAACAGCTGGGGAAGCACACAGTGGTGACGGTCCTCCCTCCATGAGTCAGGAAGATCAAGGTGACACCTTCCCTCGAGGGTGGCCCCTGGTCTCTGCATCACCTTGAGCTCCTGCCCGTGGGATGCTCTGGGTGCTGAGCAGGAGTATGCGCCTGACATTTGATCCCAGTTTAGAAAATTCTGGGTCTTCATGGTGCAAGAATGTTCCTATTACCACCAATAACACATGTATGTTGTTCAAAGAAAAATGAAGTGGTCCTAGAGAGTAAAAGAGAATGTTCCATTCGTATCACTCACATATACGTGGTGATGAGCAGTTTGTCCACTAGTGTTTATTTGTGCTGTGATCTCTCCATGGTTTGTTTTTATTTTCTCTTTCACTTTTCAGTACAAATGCATGTCTGTGTATTATAAACCTACACAGCCTACTTATCTTCTTGGTTTGCTCTATTATTATGTAAGCTAAAAGTGTGCATTTATTTCCCGCTTTGGGAAACAGAGAACGTGCACACGTGAAGCAGCTGGAGAGAAAATGGCATTGACGTTTTTAGAAGGAGAGTGGTGAGCACCGTGCACACTGATTCTCGCTTTGTGGGTCTCCGGATCACTCTCTCTTTGCCGGCAAGGGTCCTGCATGCAGGAAAACAACCAAACAGAACCAAGCCTCTCCCTTCATTTGCTGGTAACCGAGAGAATGTTTAGTCAATTGTTCATGTGGTAAAAAGCCCAGGATTATTGCAAAACTGACAGCTTCTCAATGGAATTCACTCTCTCACCTTTCCTTTTGCTGATGATATATGTGCATTTGCATTTGATTTGAGGAAAAGTCCTCAAAATGAGAGGACCTCACTTCATATCTTTTAGAGAAGGACAGGAAAAAGAAAAAGAAAACTAGTGGCACAGGTTAATTTGGCTCCAGTTGACCTTCAAATATGACCAAATAGCAACTTTTTAAAAATTGCTGACTAGACTATAAATGACCAACAACCACATGGAGAGACGCTTAACACCACCAATTAGCAGGAAATAGTCAGCTAGTCAAAACCACTGCGAAACACCACTCCACACGCATGAGGGTGGCTGTCATAAAAAACAGTGGAAAAGTACAAGTGTTGGCAAAGATGTAGAGAAACTGGAACCCGTATATGCTGCTGCTGGGAATGTAGAATGATGCAGCCGCTATGGAAAACGGTTTGGCAGGTCCTCAAAAAGTGAGACAGAATGACCGCATGATCCAGCAATTCCACTCCTACGTCTATCCTGAAAAAAACAGAAAGCATCACTCAAACAAGTACTTGTACATGGATGGTCATCACGGCATTATTCTCAGCAGCCAGGAGGCAGAAACACTGGAAATGTCCCTGAAGGGATGACGAGATAAACACAATGTGGTGCATCTACCCACTGGTCTGTTACACAGCCACGGGAAGGACAGAGGCACTGACACACGCCACCATGGGGATGAACCTGGAAACATGGTGCTCCATGAGAGAAGCCAGATACCAAAGGCCACACATCGTGTGATTCTTCTCAAGGGACATGTCCAGAGTTGGCAAGTCCATAGAGACAGAAAGCAGCCAGTGGTGGTCAGTGGCTCAGGGCAGAGGGAATGGGGAGTGACACCAGTGCACCTGGTCATGTCAGAAGCACCTGGGGATTCTGGGGCTGCCCTTCTTGTTTTCACTCCAACCCCACCTTGAGGCCAGAGGAGGTGCATCAGAGACAACATAGCTGACCCTCAATGGCCATTCCCTTCTTCCTTAATAACAGCACCCTAATTTTATTAATAGAGTTGATGAACCCCTTTTGCCCTCCCCCCTTCCTAGTTCCAGCTGCCTGGAAGACAGATGTGATGACTGGAGCTCCAGCAACCCTCTTGAATAATAAGGTGTTCTTGTGTATGAATGCCACCACTTGGACAGTGGAGCAGAAAACTTAAAGGAACCTGGACATTATAATCACAGACCTCTCACACTAGCATTCAGCATGGATTTCCTTTTCATGAAAGAGGAATAAACATCCGTGTCTTTTAAACCACTATTATTTTGGATTTTTCTGTTATACCCAGCCCAAATTGAATTCTA